AGAAATATCGAAAACAACCAATCATAAGACTGTGTTTGTCTGCTTAACTTCCGAGAAACAACCAATCAGAAGACTGCCTTTTTCTGCTTGCATAAGCCTTATTAATGCACATAAAATATATATAAATACGTGTTGATTTTCGTAATAAAACGATCTGTTGCCAGCCCTTGTCTTCTGTTGTTACAATATGTCCGGTATCCACGTGATTTCAGTCAGTTTCTTCTGATTATTACAAGGTACTTTTATAGTATTCCTTGCAGTCTACTTTGGATTCTTACTGTCTTCGATTAGGAATAAAAATTTTAAGAGAGGAAAGGCTTAAAGAAGCAAGCGATAGGCACATCTAGTACACATTCTCTTTTTATAATACTACCCAGTAAACGAATTCGGTCACTTTTCGCATCGAATAGGTAACTTACGTTAAATATGTAAAGGATTAGTCTGTAGTTGAAAAAGAACAACACTGCATTACATGATATGTCGTAGATTGCTATCGTACTTGTAGATCCTGAATGATGAAAAATATTATGCGATAAATTCTGTATATTTTGGAAATATTTTGTCCAGAACAACGCTGGTATTTAAACATATATATGTGGAGAGTTATTAATAAATCTCCATTACCGATATATGTTAGTGACTTATATATTACAACTGTCTATTGATATTATGCATAAAAGATGCAGGATCTATCGGAACAAACAGCTGATCGGTAGCTAACCTCCATAGTCGCCTACCGATCTCGACTGGTGGAAGCCTTAAGTTCAATTTGACTAACCCAACGGTCGGTCACTTCCCCTAGGTACTGTTAAGTTAATCAACAGTAAACCTATATTTTTTCTTTGGTTACAGTATTTCATCATGAGCTGACATTAGTTAGAGAACCATTGGAATACCTGGGAGTACTGGACAGCTGTTTCATCCTAGTTTGGCAGTCTTCATCGATTCGCACCCACCGCCAAAGTTCGAACCCAGAACCTTCTGGTTACAAGGCGAGCTAGCTTGTAGACCAGTAAGCCGCTGGGACCCGATACAATGGCCAGTGCATGAACCCCAACTTCTGCCAATTCACGATATAGCGCAACCGCTAGCCAATGTCTTCGGCGAGTATTCGTCCTCACACCCGACCTGCTGCACCCCACTGAGCACGACTTCCCACTGGAACCCCAGGTAACTACCTACCTGAATAGGGCCAGTCACCAGTGAGCATCTCATTGATATTCAAGTATTGATACTTGGATATTATATTTTTTATCACTGTAATGATAACTTTTGATGATTCGTCAATCTGTTACTTTCTAAAGGGAGAAATGGTTGATGTGTTGAAACTAAATTTCAGCGAAACACTAAAAACCCATCTCATTAGAGAGAAGTTTCAAACAACACAGAAATCTAAGATTGCTTAATCTATTACGTAATTCGAAGGGTTGCACTAAAACTGACAAAATGCTGTCGTTAGAATTTGTCATAGCTATTTCAGATAATGATAACTATTATTCATTTGCATACGGAAAACACTGGCGTTAATTCTGATCGTCTTCATAATACTCGTTGTTAAATGTGCACTTGTTTTATTGGCAGTTACAGCTGCCTTCAAGTTATGTCAATATTTTTGCACTACGAAGATTATATATTCACTGGCGTCATTTCAAAGTAAAACAGTCCGTTCTAAACCAAAATCCATAAAACGAGAACACTTCACGGGTTATGATCGCCAAACTTCTTTCTCAACTGAGGATCGTGAAACTTTGGAAATGACCTTCATTTGGCCCTTGGAAAAAGATTGTCAGTATAAGAACAATTTAATGGCGAGCTAGTAAACAAGGGTTCACTTAACACAAATCACGGAATCACAAAATCAGTAGGGAACTCCGCTTGCCAATATACTCTGGAAAATTACTCCACTAGTCGTACACTCACCCACCTGATTCATGATCATTATACCTGTATTCTCTGAGTACTCACTAACGGTTGGCCGTTTGACTCCTACAATCTACCGAGTGACCTTCAGCACACACACTCAACAGACATCATAGTGCTAGCTGGAGACTCGAATGTGCAGTTCAAGTACCTAGCCTCAGAGAAGAGTCATTTACCTGGTCAGTGAGAACTACATGGTCTCAGGTCAAATGATTGAGGCTATCTTCTGCCATCACTATAGGGATACATGGAGCCAAGAATGAACCTGATAATAGTCAGAGATTGTTGTCGACTAGGATTAATCACGAGTTAATCGTCAAACTAACTTCAAATGAGGGAGTTAGGCTGGAGTCGCAGATTGGCTTGTTAGTACAGTGAATAGAATGAATGTTTGAGGAGGAACAATCTGGTTGGTTTTCAGTATTACTAAGTAAGTCGTTAATTTGAATTATGATACTTCATTTACCAACATCTCCTTTTTGTTGAATATTCATTCTTGTTTAAGTATCTCCTCACAACAATTAATCTGCATTTAGTCTAACTTTATTCGAAACTTATTATTGTCATTTTGTGTGCCGTTTCCCATCATGCCACTTTTGCATTATAATCACAAAAGGGATCGAACATTCGACTCTTGAACATTCCATTATCAAAAAACATAGTGTACGCAGATGAAGTTAGTATTGTGATCTGCCATCACTATAGGCCTTTCAAAATCAAGGACAGCAACTTGAAGCCTTAAAACAACAGCTGATCTAGTCTTCCTCCAGTTCAACTAGTGACAGGAGGTCAATAGAACATTTTTTTATTCCTTCACGTTCCCAGTGGAACATAGGGCTTCAGGCTGGAGGCTTGAAGTTTCTGTATCAGTGGTGATTATTTTTACAGGATGTGGTTGCTAGCCTCATGCCCAACCTTTCCTCTTTACCAGCTTTTATTACTGGCTTAGCGAGGTAAGGGAGTTCGTCGGCCGGGGATCGAACCCTGGACTATGTGCATGGTCAGCAAGCGTCCTAATCGCTGTGCCACTGACGCACATACATACTGCCTAATAATACCGAAATCTAATACCACTGATGTTTGTCAGCCTCATCGGAGTGGTCCAAATACCAGGCGGAAGTAAACACGCATTATCTCAGCTAAAATGCTTAGTCAGTTCAAACCAATGAAATAATGACTGAGAGCCGACGACATATGGTATGCAGACAGCCGTTGACAAAGTTTACAGTTTCAAGAGAAATTTCTCTTACGGTTTTCTGTAGTCACATACAATATTTTTGACCTGCTTAACTCTATAAACTGCATAACGGAAGCAAGCGAACAAGTGCAATATGATCCACACTACTCATTGGCATGTTTGCGAAATAACGGTGATGAGATTTTAGCTTTGTACTTTGAAAGCAACAACAACAACAACCTCCTGTGAAATATTGTTTTTAAATTTGAATGGTTATAATAAGACTTGGCAGTTCATCGATGTTCTAAGCATACTTCTACTCCTCATCTGTCTTTTTTTCTTTTTTCATTTCATCTTCCTGTCATTTTTTTCAAGTGATTTACAATTAACTGTGTCTTTAGAAAACTTTGTGTACTGTAGGATGAATTAAATAGATCGATTTTCTCTGAATTTATTTTTTGCACTTATACGCTAAGTACTACGGGCTACATAGACAAGATTAGTCAACAGAGTGAAACAGGTTCATATGAATTATCCAGTTGTTAATACTGCATAGCTGTGTGATAATTAAAAATAAACTTATTTTTATGTGGTGCCACCTACAACGCGCCCAATAATACCAACAACGGAAGCACAACTATCAGTGGACATCAATCCTCTGATGAAAACAGATGAAAATCCTGAAGGCAATAAAGATGCTAAAAACTGGAAAAGCTGCATCAAAACCAGACTGAATCCCAGCAGAAGCATTGAAAATGGCCTCGGAGACATCAGCGGACTTCACGATAACACTACTGATGAAGGTTTGGAAAGAGGGCAAGGAACCTGCGGATTGCAAGAAAGTCTACGTATTCCAACTACCGAAGAAAGGAAACTTAAGCTAATGCAAGAATCGGCGCGGCATTGTTCTCCTGTCTATCCCAAGTAAAATACTAAGCTGCATCATCCTGGAGGGAATCAAACACGCCCTGGATGTAAAACTTCGACCAGAACAGGCTGGATTCAAAAGAAACAAGTCATGCATCGATCAAGTCGGAACACTCCGGATCATCATTGAACAGAGCTTGAAATGGCATTTACTTGTATTTAAAATATATTTCCACTAATATGACGATATGACCACTGATACGAGCTAGTAGCCTGTGTGCAATACGAACCTTGTGTGCTAACTAAAACTATTTAAATGGTTGATAAAATAGTCAACCATAACTTTTGATATACCACCGGAACTTTAAAACAAGAGGAGACTGACTGTTGACAACAGTTCAAACAATTGAATGCATTGATGAATATATATAGGACCGAAACAACTTAAACAAGCACTGAATTTACGGGAATGTTCAAAGAGACAACAACTAAAGAAAATTTAGTCCTCACAACAAAAGGGATATACTGAATTGCTCCATAACTCCAGAATAAAGTCGTTATAGGGTTATACGCTTGTGTGAGGCCAAACCCAGGGATATAAAACCTAGAATAAGCAGACTTAGTTTTAGTAATTCCTTGTTGGACGAATAAAAGCATATTTTTCTAATCCTGAGATAAGACTAATGGTGTAATCGGATCAGCAAAGTGATTGCAGGCGATTGTGCACTGTTATTATCATATTAGTATAAAGTGAAAGCAAAGTTTGCTAGCACTTGTAAATTAGTCGTATTCACAACACTGAAGCTCATTAGACCCGAATGGCTGAATAACGAACTTGTTAGCTTCAACGCAAGTTCACCTAACTTTATAATGCAAGTAGAAAATGATATTCTGAATTCTCTACATCATAATTGATGATAAGTTCAACCAATCCTAGATCCAGAGGTTCATCATAACTGACTTTGAAACCCACAAATTGAGTCCGTATCTCTTACCCTTACACACTTTTTTTAATCTTTCAACCATGTTTTTGTAGTTGGGCAAATCCATAGCCAAAGCGTTTAGAAAACGCACAAGGTCGACTACACAATCAACCAATTCAGAGGGTACAATAAATGACACTACGATTACGAAGTAAGTTAATTTAGACCACTCAGAGTGATTGATCCTTTGACTTATTGTCATATTTTTGTATTTAGGACAGTTGAAAAAGCTTAAGTGTACACTAATATCGATCAATTAGATGATGTAGTTAGTCAGTATTATTTAATCGGTTGTAAGGTTTGCCGAGAATCAATCGATTTTCAAGTGAATTTCATTTATAACCGACAGTCGTCTGAAGATCCATTGAAAAGGAAGTTGAATTTCATATCTTATTCTCATTGTTTTGGATCTATACAGCAGAGCCCATGCATAATTTCAGTTGTTCCCGGAACCTGTATTGCTTTGTCAAAAAAATCTTAACTAAACTGAGTTAAGTGTGAAAGTAATTTATAAAAACTTTCAAGATGTAATTTGAAGTGCTCTATAATTTCGCACTCTATTCGGCATTTTGCTTTAAATAGACCATATTTCATAAAAGGAAATCAATATAGTTTAGGCTCACGAACACAATGGTTAATAGTGTAACAAATATATAAAACACATGTTTACTTCTATCAACTTTCTACAGAAACCAGAAAATACGAAGACGTAAACGAAATTGATCTTATTCTTAGAAGGGAAATAATGGAGAAGATTTATAGCTCAAGAGGATGAATAAAACTCCTAGAAACTGAATGCCTAACCACTTTTTCTGTCTGAATACATACACCTGCCATCCAGTATGCATTTTGCCACTACTGATATTCATAAAATCGCTTGTAACGAAGTAGCTGGGCAGTACATTCTAAACTACACAAGGCACGGATGAGTATATCGGAGTTAGAATCGGGGAAGCAAAAAAGGCTATCTGTTTTTCTATTACAAATTGTCCACTGAATAAATTGCTACACATTTCATAATTATCTCAACCTTTAAAAAATGTCGTGTATTTTCAGTATGCAGTCTAACCAAATCAGTCAGAAATCGAACGATGACAATCAGTTGGATCGACTTTATCTGACAATCAGTCGATTGCAATGTAGGATAGATCTGCTTGAAGCAAGACACAAAAAACTACAGGAAACCGTATTGAAATATAATCCTGATGATGAACTTCTATGCAATGAATTTCGTTTGGAAGGAACCAACAGAAAAGTGTTTTTATCAGGTTTGTTTTCTTCTAATAATTGATCTTTCTTAACACAATGCAATACTATTGTGAGTTCGAGTTAATGATGTATTTTCTGGTTAGTAGTTTCAAGATTCAAATCTGAACTCTTTCACTTCACACAAGTCGGCTAAATAGTATCACAAACCTCCAAATATAAAGAATGTGTCGTGTTCTAAACAGAAAAGACATACGATTTATACAACTTCTCAAATGATGACTTTACAAAATCCCTATTTTGTGTTGTATATCTCGGCTTACCAGAATCGTCATTCTCAAGACGTGTTTAATCCTCAGCATGATAGAATAGATTTCATGTAAAGCAGACAATAATACTGCGTCTTATAAATTATTCTACTCTGGATTTCTACTTCATCGAAATGCCCACGTTCTGTCCAAATAAAACGCTATGATTCACTTTCATTTTAATCATTGGAATTCTAATGAAGTGTCTAGAATCCGGCAGTGAAAACGATTCAAGTGTACTACAAGCTTGACTTTTATCATCATCCCAACCTTCTGGTATTTGTTACATTCTTCTTTAATACATTTCCGTATTTAGATTACGTACTACTACAAGAGTGTAGTCGTTATTATTAAACAAATTCATTGTCAGATCACTTAAATGATATATATTAAGACATCGTTTTGTCTAGGGAACACATGTCAATTAATACATATTGATGATCACAGAAATGTTCTGTTCAACAGAGTAATGCCCAGACATGCTAACGTGATACAATGAATTCTGAATCAAGGTTAAGGCATAAAACAATTTATAAGTCTACCGTAGCGAAGAATTTAACTTACTTTATTCTATTTATATCATTATTTCTGACATTTATTTGCATATGCAGAAAGAACGTGTAATTTCCTGTCTTTATTTATACATAAACTTACAGAAATGCATTGGAAAGCATCCTGATAAGTAGATGTACAGTCAGAGCTCTTCTTTGTGTACTTATTTTGTACGTGTGTATAAGTGAAGGGTTTTGTGCGTTTGTTGATGAACTAATAAACATTCACAGCAGTATTATGTACGAAAAATGTGATCGCATGTCGCATAATATCTTTTCCCATAAAGGTATCTGTATATGTATATACAGGACGTTTCAAAATTCGATTTTGCACCTGTAGTTTTATAGTTGAATTGGGCATTTCATAAGTGAGACGCACCCTGAGTCAAAATAAAAATTAAATCAGATCATAATTCGATCAGCTTACATTATAAATAACAACCATTTGGGCTTTCATTTCAGCTTTATTCTTGACCGTGTTACGTAGAGGAAAGACATTCAGCCAGCATATGTTAAGTTAGTATATGATTATGACATGATATGATATGAGGAAAAGAAACGGTTTCGAGAGCAGGAGTTATCAAAATATTCAAGTTAAAGTATGCACCTATGACATAACATGGTCATACTAATCTATTTTGGAAAATGAAATATACATAATTAAGGAGGGTATTAAAACACTCGTCCGGAATTTATTTTCTACTGAAAGAACGTTCCTGTCTCAAATCTTATCACTATTTGCAGTATAAACTTCGCACAGGATTTTAAGAAATTGTGAATATCTTATTCCACATACTCAAGAGATGAGCATTTCAATACTATATCCCTTGTAATATATAATCAGATTTGATAATGCGAATATCAGTTACATGAATCCCTTCAAATATTAAAAGTCTCGTTTGAAGTTGATGTCAACTGGAACTAAAGATGAAGATTAAGTCCCATCGAAAGCATCATTTCACGAGAAATCAACTCAGGTAGTTCTTTTTACAACAGTTTACTAATTAGGACTTCTATTTATTGCTTAGGCGACAGATTAATTTAGACAAAAATGCTCATTTTCAAGCAGATACTCCAAAATAAAAAAATAAATTCTACATGCAAGCCTAGCTGCATGCTTAATGTAAGTCCAGATTTCATTTCTATTGAGTGACATACTCATTCATGGACATGTCAGTAATACTTCTTTCTCAACACCTGAATGAGCCAGGGTGATAATTTATATATATATATATATAAGAACCATTTTGGTCTTACGATAGTTAGGTCACTTTACAGTCATCATCATCGTTGTTTCAATCCGTTGAATGTACAAGAAGACAGAAAGCGAACTATAACCAGTTTTATTATATTCAGTTGTCCATTGACACAATGTCCGTATTAGTTCAATAAAGCTTATTCACCCCGTGGTTAATACTTAATAATCCGAGTTATTTCTTTATCTTCTTTCATGACACATTAACTAGATTTGTCGTCTAAATTTTGCAAAAATAGTCGTTATTTTGTGCCAGTCCTTGTGAACACTGAAGAAATCATTATTGATTCAGAATCGAAAAAATCACTGAAAATAGGATGCATTGGATTAAAGGATGATATGACTTGGAATGAGCTGGATGAAGTACTGCAAGAACTACTTCAGGTGGGTATATGGGCTTGTAAGTGCCTAAATTATAAAACATACTTCTTTCTATTTTCTGTAGTCCAGATCTTTCTACAATACCGGTGTGCGAACCACCAAGCATTAAGCACTGCATAGCTGTGTAAATCCAAGTATCCATTACACTGCTTTTATATTGGTCCATCGAAAGTTATAAGAAGGTTATGCTAGGTCTATACGGCCAATAATCCCTGAACATAAAAGCATGGCAAAAAGCGGACAAAACTTTGAAGAAATAGATTGAAAAGGCAATAAAATTAGTGAAGCTTTTATTATTTCTCTTTGTTCACTGAAAGAAGAATAAAGATGGAGAAAAATCTGTTCTGCTGTTATTATTTGAGCACAGTATGACACAATGTGTTCTCCTCACTTAATTGGCTGTAGGTTTATGGAAGCAAGTGAAATTTATTCTAGTCATTAGTGTGCAGTAACACAAGTAAGTATTGGTTATAAATTTGTGCAATAAGATATCAAAGTGACAATAGCAGTAAGTACCGTCTGAATATAGATCGAGCCCTAGTGCCCTAATGAGGCTGTTGACAGAAACTTCGCCCAGAAATAGCTGGATTCAAGAGGAATAAATGAAATCATAGCATAACATATCATCATCGAGCAGAGGTTTGAATGACAGTTAATTTTATACTTCAACTTCGCCGACTTTGAAAAGTCTTTCGACAACATAGATTGAAAAGTAATTTGACAGCTTCTCCATGACCGTGAAATGCAGTGCCACACACATTTATAAACTCCATCCAACAGCGATACGATGATGCCGAATTCCAAGTAATTCACAAGAGAAACCACATCGAGGTATTGGATCTCATGGCATATGAAATAGAAGCCTCCCCACTATCAATGATAATATTCATGATTTTGGTGAACTGCGTCATTCAGCACACTGTGGGAAGTTATTAAATGGATTCATGTTGAAGAGATAACGATAGCCTAGAATATCTGGAATAACAGGGGACTTATGTTTTTTGCCTCATAAACTGGAAGATACGCAAGCGAAAACTAATAGGTTAGTAGAAGAGGCAAAGAAGACAGTACTTCAAGTGAAGATTGAGAAGAAAGAGGTGAACAAGATAACCGATCACCATCACCACCACCACAACCAACAACAACAACAACAACGAACACCAGTCACACTCATTGGGATAAATCTAAAGCAAGTCGTCAGTTTTACTGCCACTTATTTGGGCGGCATAGTTCCTACTGCATGTTGACGACATGGACGAAGATGTCAAAGTCAGGATTGAGAAAGCAAGACATGCATTCAATTCTCTGAAATCGACTGAAGTATCTATAAACTCAGCACAGCGGACAACATCCCAATTTTCAATGGTGATGTATATCCAACGCATTTTTATTTTCCCAGGACTTGGAGCGCGTCACTTAAGACATTTTCGCGAATCGGCTGCGCGCCTTCATCAACATTTGCCTTCGATGGCTCGATAGTGCAAATCAGTTTCTTAGCTGGGAAGGATAAACGCCGAGGAACTCTGGAGGTCATCAAACCACTCAAGAAGCTATTGTGCAACAAAAATGCAGGAGGAAATCGAGACAGGCTGGAGGCGCAGTGAGTAGACTATTCAGTGACATCACATGCCATACTGGCGTCAAGTGGAATCAGAATGAAAAACGACTGGTTGGATGTCAGAGTGGATCATGATGAATATCAGGTGAAGAGGAAATAGGAGATTGTAGACAGTTTTGAAGCCGATTGAAAATGATAGGAGAGAACAGAGTGCCTTGGAAATAGGCTTTTGAAGCTCAACGAATGAGTAAGTAACAAGACAATTATATCAGAGTCACAGTCAGAATATGATAATGAAAACAGTTACTGTCTCTGTCAAAAATAACCCAGTGTCTACAAACCCAATGTTTGAAAGTATTTTGGGTTATTTAAAATAATTAGTCCCATACTGTTCTGTTTTCAGTAATCTCTCCACTGCCTTTAGTTTATTGTAAAATCTTCGGGTTTAATTTTAATCAGACATATACTCTGATATTAGTTACCTAGTGAAGTGTTTAATTCTAGTTTCAACCAACTCAACGATGGAAAATAAAAATATTATTGTGAAACCGAAATATTGCTTATTAGATTAAAAGCAAGGATAAATAAAGCACTGACACAACATGTATGTATACTTATTTACGAGAGGACAGTCAATTCTAATCTCTGAAAGACTTGGCGTTAGTATACAGTTTATTTAGATAGATTATTACTCCAGTTATGCAAACTACATAGTTATCAGTCAAATTGGAAATAATCTACTGTGTTTTTGTTATCAGTAATACAAGAAAACAGTACCTGCTGTTTGTTCCACCTTCTACTGTATAAACTAAACGTAGTAGTGGTATTCGAATCAAGAGAAATACACACACACACACAAACAGACACAATAAAGAATACCTTTCAACTTTATGAATAAGAAAATTGAACTACTTTCTAGATATTACATGAACAGTGCATCCATTATACAGTTAGATGTGTACATGTGTAGTTTTCAGTGGTTAGTGTTTATTCATTTTTATTTTTATTTAATAACCAAATATGCTGGAATATATATATAAGTATAATTTGACTTACTAATTGTTCAATAAAATTGTGATATGAGGCTAATAAGCAACATTCATTCTAATTGCTTATATGCCAACAGTATCGGATAGTAATAATAATAAACGCTTTCGGTTAGTCCTAGTGGTATGCTTATCTATGGCAACTGACGAAGAAGACATAACTAAGACAATTCAAAGACTCATGGAGGCGTTTTCTTACCGGAAGGCTTCATTCAAAAAAGTCATAATTGTCGGAATAAGCCAACTGCACTTTCTTGTTCATTGAATTGTAAAAGAAAGACATATGTAAAAAAAATGATAATTGAAGTGAACTGGGTAAATATATAACGGGAAGTGATGCTAATCCTATGAAATATCAAAATGGTGGTCTAAGTTGCCTAACGAATTACCACTTTTCGGTGTAGCATCTACATATCCTTGTGATTTATATATGTCCAAACGAAGTTCACTTTTAAAAGTTTGAAAAACATTTCGCCATTGGGTATATGATATTGATTATAATAAAGGTTTTTGTATTTCCTAATGAATGAAAAACAAACGATATTGTTTTTACTGACGTTTCGCTATTCAATGCTAATAGCTTTATCAAAGTATTATTGAACCAGAGTTTACAAAATCCCAGGTTATATATATAACAACTTAATCATCAATCCTGAACATGGCTTCATTTTCGCATTGTCAAGTTGGCCGATTGACAAAGATAACAAAACCAGGTGTAGATTGTTGGATTTGATAAGTGTATAAAATTATAAAAGCAGCGTGTGTTTACATAATGAAATCGCTTATCAAATTCTTGACGGAGGAACTGTTGTAACCAGGTCGAATTCCGTTTCAGTCCATCATTCGTATTCAGAGAATTTGCATTCCACTTGATATGAAACGCTTCTGAAATTAGACGTTCTTTGTGATTTCTGAAATTTTCCTGGATTATTTCATTATTGTCAGAGTCAATTTTGTGGTCTGATTCTCTAGCACGTAGACCTATGGATGATGATTTTTCAGGCTTTTCTAGTTCAACTAGATTTCTTCGTGGTCGAACAGATGCTCTACGGTGTTAATTTCTTCTGAATTTTGATTTCTCGAGATGTTTTTCCAATGTATATCGCGTCACATTCCAATCATTTTATTTTATAGACACAATTAGATAGAGAATCTTTAGGGATTTGGTCTTTTATATGGATAAGGTTGCTTTGCAGTGTGTCTGATGTTTTGAAGAGAACTCTGATGTCGTGCTTACTGAGTACTCTTCTGATATCGTCTGACATCTCTGCTCTCTATAGAGTGACAATTGTTGAGGACCATGTTTCCGGAATACGTTTTCGACTATACTTAATGTGAGTGTTGATTTTGTTGATGTTCTTCGGGTACTCATTTTGTTTGAGAGTCTCGGTAATGTTTGGTATTTCATTCATTGATAAATGCAAAAAACTTTTATGATCCTTGTGATTGTTTCTGGAAATCGGTTTTACCAGAGATTGAATGCATTCTACACTCTCTTCATTCGACTGGTTGCTTAGCTTGCCTTATTTCTGTTTGATCTCCTCGTATTGCCTTATAGTGTCCTGATACAATTGCTATTATTTGTTTGTTATACACTAATTACATAAATTCATATTCAACTTGTGAAAACAACTACTTACCGATGATATTTAACTAAGGTTGTAGTGTACCACGGACTGATAGCAATCAAAACAAATATATGTCAGTTACTAGATTTTGACTTGGTGGATAGATAATAAAATATTTACTCCGTTAGCTGAACTCAACAACTGGCTAAATTGCTCCTACACACTGATGAACAGCTGCCTACTGACCAACGATTAACACCTCTTTCAGACTGATTTGTGTTAGTGACCAGGTCTACTTCAATATTATGAACAGTATTAAGTTCATTTGTTCATCAGGAATTAATCGATGTACATCAAATCTATTCCCGAGCAGTAGGGTTATCAATGTGTGGCTTCCTATTCCTCACTGTTTAACACTGTAGACTAGGATACAGTAACTGTCAGGGTTATCTGATTCTCAGTTGTTTTACATATTCTAGAAAGGCTATTACCGAGCTGTTCAATTTTGGATCAAATATTTCACTTACAGTTAGATGCAAATTCACTCTTGACCACCGCCACTAAAGTCATCTAGTATTTCAAGTATGCATACTTCTTTAACTCTGTTAACCAATAGCCCTTCAAATTATTGTCTTTATTTCCATATAGTGTTACATCACTTACCTGGATCCTAATGAACGACTGCAACTTAATTCACTGGAACTAAAGGCGTATCAGCTAAATTCAATTTATCAATATCCGAATATAAAGAAAACAGAGAACATTGTGCGACGTTTCTCACGAATCCTACCACCACCACTGCCACAACCGTTATTTACAACAAATCAGAATCATTCCCAACTCCCTGTGACAGCAACACTGGAGACCAGCTGTCACATAAACAGAGAAATTTATTCACAGTTCCCTGTTATGTGGCTGGATGAAATTACTAAAGGCTATGATTTGGAGCTATTCGTCTTGTCTATAGAAATAGATTTACAAGGTCGTACTATGAAGTCACAATTGAAAAGAATGGATAAAATGCTACACCAAAATGTTATTGAGAAAACTGACATGTTGAACTATGGATGTTTTACAAGTCTAGTACCATATAATACACTGAAGTCTTACTTATCTGTCATCGAAGAAAATAATTTCATTGTAATCTGTGGACTGACTGGAACCGGAAAAACGCATCTGGTGAACAACCTGGCCAAAATTTTATCTTTTGAGTAGGTGAACTTTATGAATTGAGATTATTTTACATGAAGTTTTGTATTATTCTTCCATGAATTGTACGGAAAATAATGGCGTCCAGATGAACACCAAGACTTCTACTCATACTGACATTAAAAAGGTAAAATCTAACGAAGTTACTTCAGTATTAATAGCACCAAGTCTTAGATGATCACCAGTTTCTGAAGTGTGTTATTTTTGACTGGATAGATCTAGGGATGATAATTCATTCAGAGGCGAATCTGTCGAACGAAGAAATCAAAGGTATTTGCAATATCGACTGAAGAACACATCGGTTAAACACTTAAATATAGCAATTGAACAAAAGTCAACTCAACTTCCATCACATAACAGTTGACTATACCATAGAGCCGATTGTGATAATACAAAACCGATGACCAGGATCTAAATTAGGAATGTTGTATTAAGACCTACCTAACTGATCGGTCCCAGTAGTCTATGGCTGATTCATAAATTGCTAATCTATGTTTAACCAAAAACTAAAACATTATTTCAGTATATCGATAAACATCTGTCAAGCAAAGTTGCTGAAAGTGTAGTATAATACAGGGTTTTTGTTCAATAACACCGTGGTATATGATTCATTGATAATATTATTATTTTCAAACTGTTTTTTTCTCGCTTAACCAGTTTAAATCTTCATACTTTTGTGGCTAACCAGAAAAATCTTTGTCCTGCTGAAAATCCTACCACAAAAACACATTTTTTTGTCAAAAATATAAAAAAGATGAATCACCCTGATTTTAGCTTCAAAGTGAATAATAACTTTTAAGACAACCATATTAAGTAACGTGTACAGCTTTTACTTAAAAAGTAGCACCAGTAATAAGTAACATTTTGTCATCAGTTTGCTGATGACTGTGATGAACATGGTGAAATTTCAGTTGACTTAGTCATTCAGTGTCATTTAGGAACACATTTGCTAGCTGAAATTCAGTTAGTCGTAGGTTTTCAATAACCGTACTTTAAAATATCTTCACTTGAAGGTTTGAAAGTATGTTTAAATATACATTTGTGTCGATCAGAGTGTCAGAGACTAAATAAAAATGTCTACATCAGAAACTAAACAATAAAGAAATCGTAAATAAGCAATTATTACAACAGAAGTTATTTTGACTACAAATGACAGAATGATAACACACAAAGAATCCTATCAGTATATATTGGGATGAAGTTTTCAATTAACTGACTTTATTTAATAGTCTCTTTTGATATTTAATAATCAGACTATTTGGATCGACAGACTACGAACGATCTGATGAATGAACATCAAAGATGAAATGGAAATCTTAGCTGCCGTGGAATTCGAACTAACCGATTGTATATTACTGTCGTCCTACTCTGTACATTTTACTGGGCCAGCTAATCGGTCTAATCTCAGATAATGCTTCACACATTTTTAACTAACAATAAGATTTGCTCTTTTATCTAAGCATAAGTTCACATTATCAAAATACATGGTCACTTTTAATTCTCTCTTGGTTATTGGTAATTTCTTTTGAAACTTCTTCATTGAAAGTGAGTATCGGAAAACTTCGTTTACTGTGCAGGCTTGTCCTTATTATTTCTTCCACCATTATTTGCTGTTTTTAGTCAAAACGTCATCTAAATACGCCTAATTATTTCTACTCCACACAGAGTGCAAGCCAATGTGGGATTACATATAACTGAGAAAAAATTACATGCCTACTGAGTAGAACGACTTGAACTCGCGAAACACGAAATGATTAAACCGTACTTAATAATTTTAGTCATCACAACTTTCTTTGTCGTTGGCTCGACCTCGTTCATTTACTCGATACTTTAAATATAATAGCTCCCTTTGTGTAAGAAAGAACTATCATCTTTTGTAAAATAAGAATTTGAAAAGCGATTTTGCTCGCTGAAGATAAACGTTCCTGTTGTTTTTGAAAACGTTAATATTTATCACCTACTGTAAGGATCTCAACATAAGTTCAATGGACGAAATGTTGAAGAAGTGTGGTGGGTTTAAAATATAAATATTAGGCCTTCCTTCTTAGGTATGTAGTGAAGTAAATGTTATGACATGCGGATAGGGATAAAAGTGTTAAGTCAAGCTATTTCTGCATATTTAGAAATGTGCATTACATAATTCATGAACTGCATCAGAGTGCTAAGACATCTGCATCGCTTGACATGACTAGTGTCTTGGAAGTAATGCATTAACTATCCTATTGTTTTAGACTATTTAAATACTTACCGATTTCTGTTGTATAATTCTTTTTCTAGTTCGTGTTATTCAAAGGCAATATACAACTTCCGGTTTACAAATAACAAAAGTCCAACTGTAAAGGAAATCAAAAAGCTACTCAGGAAACAGTTATCATCCTTTTCGAAATGTGGTTTCCCCAAAGTCATAAACTTATTTGATATGCATCTTTTCCAAGGATCCGTCTTGGATATTTTAAATGTTTTGAATGCCTCACCAAAAGGGTAAGCCATGTTACATATACGTGTGTAAGATAGACTGAAGAAACTCACTAATCAGTGTCTTTTTCCGGCTAATTAATTTCACTTTTATATGTCGTAGGATGAAGGGATAATAGGAGAACGTTTTGTGCATTTCGAGATACCAGCCTTCGTGAGACCTGTGTAAAGACCCAAGGAATCATTAGTGCCGGACTTTATAAAGTTATGCATAACTTAAGATCATCGAGTATCATAATATCTGAGGTAGGTCATTCCAGAACCAGACACACAACACAACGAAAACTTCAAAATCGATAATCGAATGTCACGATGATACATGTATGAAAAATAAGCCGCGTATAAAAAGAAAATATGTTACATCCATGACGCAGATGGAGATTGGATATTTTTGTCAGTATTACTTAGTCACAACTATATTTCTCAAGTGTCAAACAGTCAAATTTTGCTGCTATGATTGGTCTTTAGGAGAAACAGATCGAACCAACAATAAATTTCTTCTTCTCAGTTTTACCTCTATGCAATCTAATACAGCGTATACTATCACTTGAGCGTCAGCCTATCAACTAGGTGTGGCGTGATGTTCCAAGTTACAGATTATATCTAGAATGGGTTGTCCATGTGTAGACTAACCATGCTCTTTTATGTTCCTTCGCAATAAATGTGACTCACAATCTCGTAGACGAAAAGTCTGCTTCCCTTTGAGTGAGGTTTAGGTAAATAGCTACCGAACTTTCTTTCTCTGTAGTGATTGAATTGGAATTCATGACTCAGTTGTCGTCCTACATCTGATACTTGTAGCGCGACCAAAGAATGTGGGATATTTTCACCAGTACTTTGTACATAAATTTTTCGAAATGATACTTCCTCTCAGAATTTCTAATGTTACAAGAGCGCAATGAGATAGAGAATGTATAAATAAACTCACCTACTAAATCAAACAGTTATTCCCTAATCGCCACAAATTATTTCGGTTGATACACTGACTATATCAGTCGCTTAAAAACGTCGATTTTCCACGTTAATTCTAAGTCTAATAATTGAGCACGTAAAAGGACAAACAACTGACAACAAAATGGCTGAAATGACTGGGAAATATTCACTTACAGACAGCACCGTTAGTGCAACATAAGCTACAGAACTAGTAATTAATTTAGTTAATTTAAAGCAGATCATATAGCAGTAAGAGATTAAACACATCTGACTTCTATCAGCTGTATTTTGATAAACTTTTGACTGCATTCATATGCTGATTACTACCAGTTACAGTAGTGCATCTGCTTACTTTCGAATTTCAGCTGGAAATTTAATGTTGTGATTTTGAGGATTTAATTTCACCAGTGTACACCCATAACGGCATCCTTATTCACGCTGAGAACGCTCAGGCTATGTATGAGTCAAGCATGTTACCATTCAGTCACCGAGTTATAATTGAATGACACACAAATTCTGACTTATTGTAGTTAGCAGTATAACGCTACCACCATCCTCTGGTCGATCAGTATCCACACACACACACACTACTTAGTGGAGTCTGTCATTCACGGATCGTTGAATTTCTACCTACTTACTGATTGGTAAAGTGCATACCTTGTAGTCTAAACGTGATGGGGTAGTTCCCAAGTGACTATTAGGATGGACACTGAGGAAGAGTCTGAAGTTAGTGACAAACGTTTGTCGAATTCATGTTGGTCAGTGAAGGACCTTCCTTAAAACTATTTTAAACGTTCATTAGTTTGACATGAAATGTGTATTTGGAGTGTTAGGGAATCACTTACTTCGTGGAAATAAACATTAATGTTACTTTATAACTGATTAACTTCGCCAAACAAATACATAACCACTGTACAACTTTTCAATACGTATTTCCACTCCGTCTAGTTTACGGCTCTGATTCACTGCATAAGTTGACAAATATATATATATAGTCTAACTTAGCAACTGCTACTCCTCATTATATCTGGGACGTATTTTTTAAGTCATGTCAGAGAAAGACAATCTGTTTAATTTGTTTGCAAGCAATTTCTTGTAAATATACGTCAACATTGTGTAAAAATCCCTCATCTTTATGATTTGATCGGCTGAAAGTCACCTGTACGTTAGCATCCTTGGGACGCTATAGTTGAACTTTGCCGGACAATCCTTTAAACAGATACTATATGAAAAAAAGATGTAGAGTAATGCATTCAAATATATATATATATATATATATATATATATATATATATATATATATATATATGAAAATGTCAGTTTACACTTGATTATCTGACATTTAATTTCCATTCAGGTTTGCTGTGGAATGCCATAATAATCAGAAAACTGCACAAACCTTCATAAGAATCATATTAAGCTACAGTATGTTTTTTATTTCCACTCAAGTGGTAGACATCTTAACTCAGTCATTCTTTAGCTTTAGTTACCTAAATCACGCATGGTGTATCAGTGAAAAGTTGGTTTTTAAGAAGTAAAAGACTATCAGACTATCTAGATGTGCTGTGAGTTCACCTGTGCTATAGGTCATGTTTTAGTTTTAATTTGTTTCCTGTCTAAATATTCCCTCCACCGGTACCAAATTTACAGAAATATTTGAATATACATTGTCAACTGTAGAGATTTAAGCAACCTATTGACAGTGTGTAACAGACTTATGCCTTATAAGCACACATAATGTCGATCTCTACTCTTCTATATTCAAAATGAATACTTCACTTTTCACTCACTCTCCAGGAATCAGCTTTAATCATCTAGCTGCATGACATCACCATAGCATGAGCATCCTTCAGTTGACATCGGTACTAGAGAACAGTCCCTGTTTAACACATTAGGTGTCTGTCAGATTTAAGTGCATTCCATTAGGTGTACCACACAGGGTCTAGTTGACACAAAAGAATCCACTAACTGCTATTCGCTATGTGGTGGTGGAGGGGGGGAGGAAGCAAATGAATATTCCACCGGTGTAGAGCCAAGAATTCTACTTGGTATACAAATTTCATCAAATCTTTCCGGTTCCCTTATCAACTAGTTTGATTATCTAGATGATCTCTATGTTATAATGAATACATTCCTTAAAGCCTGAGTAGCCAGTCAAACCAAACAAGGAGATGTTCACCAATTTCGACCGAAACTATCACCTCGAACAGACATCTCTCAGTAGAAACATGAGAATAAGAACAAACCTTTGAGTTTTGGATTTCGGATATTCTGTCTCTTCTCTCTCCTAAGGTGTGTACAACTTTTAATACTTATCACATGACATTATAAAAAGATGTTTGATGCACTGTTAAAGGTTCATAGTCTAGTAGTGAATACAAAACTGTTTGATATGAATGAAGTTGAATTAATATGTCACATTAAGATTTCACGAGTATTTATTAATCTTGTCATGGAAGAATTACTCATAACAAGGTTGTTTAGGGCAGTGGTTTGTCTAAGGTTAATTTTTTTGACAGCGTAACATTATGTCCACGGTTTAAAATCTGAGTATTTGAATAATCAACTTGAAATTGAACATTTCGTTTTCTACAATTCAGTCCAAAGATTATAGGTACACGTGAAAGTGCGGACAAAGATTTTGAGAACACTTGCCGCGTCAATCAGATAAAGTGAGTTCGCTGAATTCTTAAGTTAATGCAACTGTTTGTTGATGAAATTATTTATTTGATTTATTCAATAAAGTCAAGTTTGTTTTGCAAGTTTCCGTGTTATTCCAATCGACGGAAGCTTAAATGTCACACAAAATTCGGTGATTTAATCTACACTAACTGCTGTATAAAGAGGTATTTAAGCTGGTGAAGTCAGTCAGCTGAATTCTGATCGTTCACTTTATCATCACAGCCATCATGTAAACATGTTTATCTTAAATCCCGATGTGTTTCAGTGTTTCTGCAAACTAGATGAGTAGTACTAATGATAAATGAACTAAATATATCCAATAGAGTAAATAATATTATATTATTTCTGCTCAAATGATGACTATGGTCTACAGCGAATTTTGTCGCTGATTACACTTACTTGCTACAATAACAAATCCAGAGCAGTGTATGCACTCATATTCATATCACTATTGTTAGTTGGAAGTGGCTAATGAAATACGGTGTATCTCTACACTAAGTGAATATAAAAGATTAGAAATAAACTGGGATTCGCAACTTGGATCAGTGTTTGCATAGTTACACCTACATCACTGTGCTTTCAACGTCTTCCGGTAAAACCAAGTGGACCTGTAAAATGAGTGGATCCCAATCACTGAACCGCCTTTCTCCTGCTATTAAGGTCAGGAGGCATATGTGTTGTTATGTGGAACCCATAGTTCACCTGATGGGAAAGTGTAACAAGACTAACATGATTACCCTTCAGATTAATCACAATGTCCATATATCCTAATCTCAGTCCCTTTCTACGTGTAAAACAATCTAGACCAATGTTCATAACACTTTCCTCTATGATTGCACAATATTTTAGTGAATCGCCGCTTATTTTGAAAACAGAACTTTTATATGAATCACTAGATAAAATGTTAAGTCTATAAGGAAAGTGACTGCTGAAAACAATCTGAAATTTTAGTTAGTTAGTTTCAAGGCATTCATGACATTCTCAGCTGTTACTCTCCACATTACAGTAAAAAGAGACCGATATACTTCTGTTATGCGTCGATGGCACAGTGGTTAGGACTCTCGCCGACCATGCACATGGTCGGGGTTCGAGCCGTCGCCGACGCACACCTGATATCTATGGTCGGCCTGCGAATTTCGGGCTACAGATATCCACGCTGAAAATTCCATACTTGTACCAAAACTACGGTGTGGAATCAAGCTGTAATCAAAAATAAAAAAATAAAATAAATGTATCTTGGAACGTTTTCAAGATTTTCGGAATTTAAGGTTTCAGTCTGCATTTTTATATCGATTTGTAGTAAACTAACCAATCGCTTTATCAAGAAATCAGATTTTCTTCCGTTCATATTATTTCGTTTGACTTGAAGACAATGCATTTCATTTATTGATAATAATGGGTAACATTTTTAGCACTACATTTTGTGAAAACTAACTGATATTTCGACTTGTCTTTTACCTTTTTACAAATAATAGGATTATGCATCATTTGCCTGACATAAAGAGTACACAAGAATATTTAGAAAGAGTATTATACAGAAATCTCGCTCAAAGTCGAATGTTTTGTTCACATGGACTTACAAACGAAGATGTTACTGCCAGTGCAAATAAGGATCGGAAGTGTTATCAGTTGATTTTCTGGTTAACCGAGTTTTGGAAGAAATTAAATGAAATCCTGTGTTCTATAACTGACAGAAAACACTGTGCCATTTTCGGCGTTCAATCCACACTTAAGTGCCCCTGGATGATAATGCCTCATTACATTGGTTTCTTGACCTATGGAACAACATGCTGGTTCCAGTTTTATTTGAAAATATGAGATGTGTGACGAAAGAGAAGTCAAACAGTATATACAGCATATTATTGACTGATTTTATTGCATGGGTAAGTATTACATGGCCATGGGATAGAAACAATATCCACTTCCCTACCTCTTTGAAAAGTCCAAAAATAAGTTTAACCCAGAACCCATCGAGTACTCAGAACTTCCAGCCTATTCAGTCTCCCTCTGGTTCCCTGGATGCGGAAGTAGCCCAAAATCGAAGAAGCATGGATTCGAGAATTATTCTGGATGGGATGTACCCAGCAAGTGGTGGCAGTGGTGATGATGTAGAACAAATTTCACCAAATACAAACGATTATATACATGTGATCAGAACGCTATGCAGATTAGAATTAGAGTAGTCCATACAATATAACGATTTTGGACACTCAAAAATATTACTTTTTCTTTACGAACGTTCCTTTATAAGTATGACAATGAAATCTCCTGTTTAAAACAAAATATTTTGATGAACAATATGTAATACAAAGTGAAAAGTTTCTTTTTGTTTACAGAAATAAATGTTCAAGAATATCGAAAGTGCTCACTTCAGACATTTTAATGAATTCATATGCCAGGAAAATACATGTTTACTTCTCCTTGTGTAGCTAATTTCGAAATGAATTTAAGAATAAGGGCAAACTGAGGGACAACTAATAAACCTCTTATTCCAGCTCACGATTTCTAGACACTGTAGTCTGTCACCTATACAACACCACCGCCTAAAGAGATTAAAGTAAAATAGTTATCAGTTGCCTCTAGAAAGCCAAATATCACTGTCATAACATAAAGAATATTCGAAAAATGTACACCATCGGAGAGGCTCTTCTCAAAGCGCCTATGAAATTTACCAAACTCTCCGTGGAATGTACAAATCTTAGAAAGGGGAATCAAAGTAACATGACCAGTAAGCAATTAAAACTACGTAACAATGTGAAAATTTTGAAGGCTTAACACGACAAAATTTATGCTGGACTAAACGAATAAGGAATGACAAATGAGATGATACCGGAAATCGTTCAAAGTGAAAATAGTAAAGCTAATAGAGCTAACAAGGCTGCTATAACATGGGTACATAGATTAAATAAACAAAGGAAAAACAAATAGGCTCAAGGTAAAATGAAGATTATAATAGGTTAACCATAAAAGTAGAAGTGGTTGAAGATATTTCTTCACTATACAGAACTCAGACTTCTCCATTTCAACAGTCGAAGCCTCAGCAATACACATGAGACAGATACGTGATTATTTTGGCAGGTTATCATTCACCTTATAGATGACTTTAGAGGAAGAGATTATGCAGATTAGATGACTAGTGTCAACCAGATGTTCAATTATTGCGCTTCTTGTGGTGCCACTTTCACCTGTTCATAACCACACAGGATAGTGTTTCTGCACCCTTTTGAATAAATGAGTGTTGAACGACACACATATCTAGCTGCATAGGAGTAGGTCAACTAGTAGGCACTCACTGAGTTGGTCAACTAAGCAATCATGCTTTTCAGGTTATTGAACCTTAATGGTCGACGAGAAAACACTATCCCTGATAATGCCTCAAGGAATCTCCTTTATAGTAACTATAAGATACTCCTTCAGGGGATGTCGATAGTTTGTTTCCATTTGAATTCAAAATTCACATGTAGCTCTTTCTTGAATACAGACGTCAAAACATACTCTGTTTGACTCTGTTTTAATTCACACATTTTATGCAGTGCAGTACATTTAAACTAGACTCACCGACATATTGATGATAACCATCTTTTAAAGACAATAACTCTATCTGCATTATGTACAACACAAGCATTTTGGCATCATTCAAACCACATCAAAGAGAGTTGTACGAGGATTCATGAAGGTTGTCTTCGTATATTCTGAACCTGAACCTGCTCACATATCTTCCGAAAAACTCATTCTTTGTATCAAATTTAGGCATATTTCACTAAGGCCTTTTTCATCAATAAAAGCAGACATTTATTTCACTGAAATCAGTTAAACAGTCCCCAGTATTTACCTATAATTAGAAAAATTCTGTCTTGGCATAACACGAAAGCAATCATAATATTACTTAACATATCGAACACAGTACCACATACCACAACAAAGCGTTTTGTTAACTATGAATCAGTCAGCCTGAAAGCGCAAACTCTGCGCAGACCTCAAACAAGACAGTAATAGCTAACCCATTTTGAAGAACATCTTACCAAACGCAGTTAATTATAAAAAGTTTAAATAATTAATCCTGAATCAAGGGGATGTCATGTTTTTAAGGAGCAGATCAATAATAATTTCCCATTTTTGATCACTTAAAAGTACTTTTGAGTCGACCACCACTGGCAGCTCGCCAGAAACACGCCACCAGCAACAGCACTCACAGAGCTGCCTGCCAGTGGACACCAATCCCCAAACGAAAACAGAAATTCTAAGTGCGATCAAGCTACTGAAGGCCATCCAGGAAGGCAGCAGGACCAGATGGAATTCCCCCGCCTCGAAGCACTGAAAACGGACCCAGATTCTGCGGCAGATATTCTCATGCCATTATTGTAGGAGGTTTGGAAAGAAATAAAAGTACCAACCGATTGGAATAAAGGCTACTTCGTTAAGCTGCCACAGAAAGGTGACAAAGGCCTATCCAAGAACCGACTGGTGTGCAATAATGCTTTTGTCCACGCCAAGTCCCATCATCCTGGAGAGAATAGAGAGTGCTCTGGATACAAAACTCCGCCTGAATGGAATAAGCTGGCAGTATTCAGGAAAGGCAAATCATGTGCTGATGAAATTGCAACCCCACGCATCGTCAACTAACAAAGAATAGGATGATAGTTAAATATCTCTCTATCTCATCGACTTCGTAAAGACGTTCCACAGCGTTGACCAAGAAGTAATTTGGAAACTACTTCAACAATACGGCGTGCAGTGCCCAAGTTTTTATCAGCTTCAATCAACGGCTAGCTATATGACAGTGTCACGTGTCTGGTGACCCACAACAGGAAACTCAGTGAAGCGTTCAAAGTCCATACAGGAGTAAGACATGGTTTCGCGCGTATAATCGCCCACGATATTCTTTATTGTGGTGGACTGACTGGGTCATACATCAGGCTGTGAATTGGGAGTGAGGAGACAGGAATACGTTGGACCGCCGATGAGAAGACTCTAGAAGATTTTTCATGTCACACGAACTCGAAGACTTAGAGGCAGGCGGAAATCAACAAACTGGCTGAAGAGGCTGGCAGCCGATACAGGACTGCACGGGAACATAGAAAAGATAAAGATAACCAACAAATGGTAACAACAAAAAGAACAACCAGCAACAATCACCATCTACGGGAGAGATTTAACAGAGGTTAGCTCCTCCACTTATCTAGGAAGCACCGTTTCTACCACAGGCAGTAGAAACGGGTGGAGATGTCAAAGCCAGATAATCAGCCAGAATCGGAAAGGCGATATACCCCTTCATTAAGCTGAAACCAATTTCGAAATCTTCTGCATTTTCTCACCATAAACAACAAGATCCGGATTTTCAACGCCAATTTCAAGTTGGTCCTTCTATATGAGTCGGAAACTTGCACTGCATGTCACGAAAGGGATTTCCAACAGGCTGCAGACTTTTGTCAAAAGCTGCCGCCTTCGCTGGCTAGCTTCGTGGTGAAGGTCGAATGGCCAGCCGGCTAGCCAGAAGGAATCAGAAACCAGAAACTCTGACTGGAAACAAACCAACAGGCGAGAGCCGATTGCCCATAAAATATGTGGGATACAGTGGAGATGGATGGAGCATACGTTGAGGAGACCGTTGAATGACGTCGCGTGCAGTGGGGGCCATCAGTCGAATGGAATCCGAATGGGTCGTCCCAGAGTGACTTGGAGGAGGTCGTGTAAGGAGATGAGCGATTACTGGAAATCGTGGGTCCAGCTGAGAAGGACGGTGGAAAAAATAGAATAAAGTGGTGATGTGTTGTTGAAGCCCTATGTTCCACTTGGAACTCAAGGGATTAATAATAAATAATAATAATTTTTGGTAACTTTTATCTTAGAAAATACTGAAAATAGACCATCAAATTATGAGCAAATTTATATTAGAAATCGTCGTCCTCACTCTCTGCTGGCTGATTAGTATTTTTCAAATAAGTCTGCTTGCCTGTAGCTGTTTGATCACCTGTACGGTCTTTCAACATACTATTACGCTCATAACCACATTCATTACTGTTCATAAAGTGTTGATTTTCTTCATCTCCCAAATTTGTAACTGGACTATTCTCCTATTGGTGTAAATCAATAAAAATTATCAATAATTATTATTATTGTTGTTAATAATGTTAATTAATCAAGACACAAATCATGTTTTCAAAAATAATTTAATGCCATATCTGTTTTTGGGAATTACTCACGATTAAGTAAAGTTAGGGTACTACACTTTGATCAAAGCAGTTTTTGCAGAATCTATGCTTTCTTATATAAGTGAAAAAATTCATTAGTTGAAATAAAACTAACAACACTTTTTTGAATAATACAGAAAACGACAAGTATTCATCACTCGTTTGTATATTGTTACACTTATAAATATCACTAAGAATACATAGGGATAAGATAAACTCACCGTTAATATTTGAATATCCTTTTTAGTTGAGTTAGCTGGCTACTTTAAAACAAACCCAAATATATTTCACTCACTCCACTTCAAATCAACAGTTGAAAAATAGACAACAAAAATAACCATGATCTTAAATTTATGGAGCTGTCATTCTCCATGGTCCACTCGTGTTGCAAATTCGTACTCAGTAAGTTAGCTGACAGATGTGTTGTTAGACAGAAGAGAACTGGTCTGAGATAGAACGGCGACAAACAAGTCGACTAGTATTTGGAAAATGTGAACAGTTGTACAATTTATCAAACCAGATTCATTGATCAGTCAATTGATAGCTTTTGTCAATGAACAGAAGGTCTGTAAAAGGGCTTGACCATGGCTTTAAAGAGGTTTCTAGTAGACTGGACGATTGCTCGGCGTATATTTAGTGAGATCATATACATATATATAGAAATATTTGGAGTGGTTAAACTTACGTCTATGATTAAGTGTGATTATGAAAGTTATTCCTTTGTTTCTGCTCGTTTTATTTATTTTTATTTTTGATTACAGCTTGATTCCACACTGTATTTTTTGGTACAGGTATGGAATTTTCAGCATGTGATATCGGTAGCCCAAATTTTGCAGGCCGATCATAGATATCAGGTGTGCGTCGGCAGGGGATCGAACCTCGGACCATGTGCATGGTCAGCGAGAATCCTAGCCACTGTGCCACCAACCCACTTTTCTGTAGAAGGTAATTTCATGAAACAGTTTTCAAAGACATCTTTTGTATGGAACATGAACTCAGTAATATGCGGCTAGCAACTGTTGTTTGCCAATGAATAAGAAATAACAACTTCACTAACTCTTTTTTTGGTGGACCGATCAGCAGTGAAACCCTTGA